GCACCTGAGCTCGCAAGACATCGCTTCGCAAGGCCAGGTGCCTTGACATTGAGAAACAGTCCATGGCATGGCATGGTGGAAACTTCACTAAATCATCTTCTCACAGTCCAGCAAGCTAGTAAGGACATATCTCTGTCTACTTGCAGGTTGTTTACCTTTGGAGACAGTTTAGTTCATCAGGACATACAGTAACATTTCAGTTCATATATTATAACTCTTGCAAAGTCCTGCCTGACTGGTGTTAAAATCAATACAGGGAGATCTTTAAGGCAAGGCTGCAATAACCAGCAGTGTAACTAGAGACAGTAAAGATTAAAAAGGGGTAGTCCTGCTGAAAGGAAGAACTGAGTTTAGTACATGTGCACCACCACTGCTGATGACCTCACACACACACACACACACACACACACACACACACACACACACACACACACACACACACACACACACACACACACACACACACACACACACACACACACACACACACACACACACACACACACACACACACACACACACACACACACACACACACACACCTACGAGTGACGTTGGATACAGGAACTAAACCGGTCATGTGACCACTGAAAAGGGCAGAGTTGAAAAACAAGCACTGTGCATCTCATGCTCTTGCTGCTGAACCGAACCACAGTTTCTCCAAACCACTGAGACACGATATTGAGCTTTCTCCATAGCAACAGAAAGCAGCTGGGGCTACAGACCTCAGTTTTGTTTCATGTTTTAAATCAAAGTTACGCACACTTTTGCAAGTTTGAAAAAAATATATATTTAAAGATACTTTTTGCAAGCTCACTTCACTTCTCTGAAAAAATAGTTGCTCACCTTTTATAAAACAAGAATATAAATTGCATAATGCTGTACGTTTAATTAATATTCCTAAATGCACTGATATTGGTGCATCGGTAGGTCCATCCTGATTCAACTTGAGCCTTGCAGTTACACCTGTTAAAAAGTACAATATAGTGAAACTCTACTTTTAACAAAAAGTAAGAACAGCATTAAAAAATGTTTTACAAATATGTAACAAGTTGAAAAGACATTTGGGTAAAAGGCACACAGTGACATCACTAAACCAAAGGTTGCCACCACACCCTGATGACGTCCTTTCTGCTGTCCAGAATCAGACATTGTGCATTTCTTGCACCGACTTGTGTATTGTTACATAAACATGGACAGAGAAGTGGTTTGGTAATGTGAGGCCGTATGAGGCCCTCTGGGATACAAAGCAGTTTCACATTGAGGCCCCTGAACTGGGTCAGGAGAAACACACAACATGGATTAATGCTGCCTAAAACCTATGGAGCTCTTCTATATTTCAACAAGCAGCAGTTGACTTTTAGCACGACATCAACTTGGTATCAAATGATGAAAAATATGATAATGTCAGCTATAATTATGAGTTAGTTCATGTTCTAAACAGACTGGCTGAGCAACACCGCCATTTAGGAGGCAAACAAAGAGTCAAAAAAGCTCCATCTGGCAACCGCCATCACCCTGGAGACAATGTGGGACATTTCTTTGTGCTAAAGCTCTTCAGCAAACTCACATCCTTCCTCTAAATCTAATGCAGCCCCCCTCACCGACCCAACTCAAGAAGAAAAGGGCTTTCCAGGAGAGGAAAAGGCCTTAGAACTACACGGCAGCTGGAGGAAACACTTTATATAATTTTAAATTTACTCTGTTTTGAACTTCAATTTAAAAAATAAAATGTCACAGAATGTCTCCCATTTGTTACCCTAGGAGGCCATTTTAGTCTGAGTCAACAAACTCCGTAAAGGTGGATCTGCCAAATCTTGCAAAACACAGACTATGGAATTCTACTTTCACAAAGCAGGGTTTCTAAATCAAGCATCAAGGATACATCTCAACCATCGTGTCATGTTAACTAAAACCACCACAACAGACAGGTTGGCTTTGCCGTCTCTGGGTACGCCTGGATGGATGGGATGTCCTGTAAGCTAAGAGATAAATATGCTTGATTCAGTCAGTTTCATCATAATTTAAGTAGAAAAAGCCCACATGCTGAGATATTAACTGGATTAGAAACACATCTACCAACTCACTCATGGCTTTATGCCTTTTGTAGACGCTTTTATCCAAAGCAACTTACAGATTAACTTAATATGCAGGTTCTTGGGCTGTGGGAGGAAACATCATCCAGAGAAAACCCACACATGCATTGAGAGAACACGCAAACTACCCAGAAAGGTTTGCAGTCGAGATTTGAACCTGCTATGAGCCTAGCAGGTCTCCAGCTTAAAGATGCAAAGTGCACCTCTGCTCTGTGCACTACAGGAAACAGAAGCTATGTGTAAATATTATATTTTAGTTCCCTATGCAAAATGCTTCATTAGTTATCACTTCACCCAATCATTCCACTTTCCTCTTAAATCACTCAGACTATGTGACAATGTAAAAGAAATTACAAAAGGCCCCATTACTGCTACACACTTACAGGAAGTTACATCAGCAAGCTGATTGGCTTGTTCATGATAAATGAGCTGCACTTTTATAATGTCTTTCAGAGTCAGAGGACTCCGAAGCACATTACACTACAGTGTGTTTACTCAGATGGTTCTATGATGCTCCCTGAAGGTAGAACGTCTGTGTTCATCCATGTTCAGTATCCAGAGAACTCTATAGGGGATTATTGATCTATCTGGCATTGATTGAAAACAGGGCTGCTCGATTATGGCAAAAATGATAAATCACAATTATTTTGAATGAAATTGAGATCTCGATTAAGTTGATTTTTTAAATTAATGTTGATTTCATTTATTTGGTCATAAAATTGCACAGGGCAAAATTAAAGAAAAAAAAAGCCTAAAACAAGATGATCACAAAACAACTGCTGATTCCTAGTATATAAAAGTAGCCAATACACTTGCTCATAGTTTATGACCTAAAGAGTTTAGACAGAGGTTTAACCTACTTATTAACCTTACCTGATACAGATCAAAATACCCAACCAATATCATGAAAATACTGACAACTAGGGATGTAAGAAAATATCGATATGGCAATATATCGTGATTTTTTTCCAGCAATATTATATCGATATTCAAAAGCCGTGTATCGGAAATATTGATATGGCAATATAATGTGATATTTTTTTCCTGCGATTATTACAACGATATTCAAAAGCCGTGTATCTAATTTCTGAAAGAATTTACATGCAAACATTTGTGTATTTTCTTTTCGTTTTGTGCAATTCCATCGCCACCCGCTAGTTGGCAGCAGTGTGCAACGGGTTTTGTTTCCACCATTGAAATGTAAATCCCTCCATCATGGTTCAGATACCTCATGTTAAACATGTTACGTATCAGTTTGGACTGTTTATTGAACATTCTTACAATAAATTCAGTAAAAAACATTGCTTGTAACGTCTGACTGAATGTATCGCAATATATCGTGATATGTCGTATCGTCTCCCCTGTATCGTGATATGTATCGTATCGCCAGAATTTCAACAATACACATCCCTACTGACAACAGGAGTTATACAGTGCATTTATAATATAAAACAAATAGAAACATATAAACGTCTATATTTTAGTGAAGTTCACAAAATGATATTTAGTCCTGGTGCTGTAGGAGAGTGTAGAGATTTAATTATTATTTATCAGTGTGAGGAACTTATTTCAAAACTTTTTATTTACATGTCCCATCAGTTAATGTAAAATTGCCCAAGGCATTTTGTGCCACCTCTCTCCCTGCTTTGACAGCAATTGGAGGTGCGCTGCAACACACACAAACAAACACACACACTCCTGGTCTTGCTGCAAGGGGCTGCGTGTGCAGTACAGCGTGTGCCCATTTTGCCATTTTTTAGTGGCTCAGGAGTCTGTGGGTACAGTGTGTGTGTGACTCACTCCGGATCTGTGACCCATTTAATTCACCACTGACGCCTAGTGTTTTGCTAACCTGCAGGAAATATCAACAACAGTTACCCAGAAAGTAGCTAAGCTAACTAGAAATTTTTCTAGGTTGTTCATTTGGTACTTTTAGGGGGGGAAAAAAGTCAAGATGGGGGTCTGAGAAGTGGTTAGAAATAGTTGCTAAGTTGGCGACACTGTGGGAGGTGCATCTGATTTGCAACTCGGAGAAGCACAAGAGGGAGGAGCAAATAATTGGCTTGTTTTGTTTTTAAATTAATTCAAAACTCAAATCGTAACTGTGATTAAAATTCGATTAATTGAGCAGCCCTAGCTGAAAGTCCAGATATTCCCAGACAGTGCATCCTGAAACATTACACGTGCACTCTGACATTTTGTTTTTGTCCTCTCATCCAGCAAGGATGTTAGCAGTAGCTAAAGCTAGCATTGTTCTGCAGTTAGCATTAACGTGACCAACATTTATACATTTTTGATGATGAAGTGGGTTGAATCATACAGATTTAAGGTGGTGCATCTAAGCTTATGACGTGTTAAACCAGAATAACCCGTTTCTTTGTGGGCATTACAATACTTACATAGGGAAGCAAGGAAAGCAGGTCGGATATATAACAGACTAGTAAGTATGGTACATTAGACTCCACAAGCTGCCTACATTCAACAACAAGGTGAATGTGATTTTTTATTCCAGAATCCCTTTAACTGTAATATCAATCAATGGGTAAACCATTTAGTCTTCTGGTGTATGTTCTGCTTCATCACAGTCCAACCATAGATGCACAACCCAACAAAAGTGACTGACCTATAATCTGAATAACCATTAAAATCATCAGACCTATTCCTGGGAGAAGGGGCAACAGCAGGATTCGTTAAATATGCTTTAATCTGCAAATCATACCAATCCCAGACTGGGATTAATGCTGGCAAAGTATCTTAGTTTCTGGCTGGTAGAATTTTCCCCTCCTCAATAAGGATGAAAAATATTACTCACAGCAATTCTTCTGAGATTCTGATGTAATAATCATCCACAAAGTAAAACAGTTCTCAGACTAAAAAAAAATGTGACAAGACTGATTTCCCAACCTTTCACAGAAAACATCCAATTTCGCCTTGTTGATATGATCAAAGTCCAGCAAAAAGCTTTTGTTCTCTGCAGGTTTAAACACTTATCCAACAACATTATCATCTAATTAAACAGTGAACAACGTAGCAGCCATATTACATGTCTCTGGCAGCCAGCTAGCCTAATCTGAACAAACCCCTTTTTCTGTAAACCAGAACCATTCCCAAAACACAGAAATCACCCCTCAGGGATTTCAGCGTTTGGAGCTGAGCGCGAGTGCCACTGACTCAGCCTTTGTCCTGGGGAGGGGGCTAAATTCCCTAGATTCCAGGGTTCCCATCAAAGCGCCATAACAGCCCCACATCCACATGAACGTTTACTCAATGGCATTAATGAATCAGACACTTCTGCTAACATGCAGTAACTCCACATAGTTATTGGTTTTCTGCTTCGGGTCGACTGTGAGGGATATTTGAGGTGTTGGTGAAGAACAGCTGTTTTAACACAGCCCACATGCATATTAAAATATTAAATAAACATTTAAAAATAGCTAGTAATCAACAAAGTTCACGTGTTTCTCTTTTCACAAGCTCCTCTTGAAACAAACAACCCAAGACTGAAGTTAAATCCAGTATAAAGTCCTGATAATGTTTTCAATTCACATTTACAATTAGTAATAATAGTTCAATAGAAATCAAGATATTGTAAAGCAGCCGCTCTAAAGTTGACAGAATTCAATAAACGTTTTAATCTAAATGACACAGCCCACAGTCACCTCTCCTCTACATTGGAGCAGTATGAATGAGGGAATGAGGGCAGAGCTGAGGCCCTGGGGCCATTGTCTCCCTCGTTAACAACTCAGCACAGCAGATGGTTGTAACACTGTTTATACACCCCACATACTGTAGGACGCGAAGTGTTAGCATCAGTCCAGTGACGGATGTCAGTAGGGCTGTCGCGGTAACCGCAAAAATGAAATATCGCAATATGAAGAAGCCCACCGCGCTGCATCATGGGCCACCGCGATTACTGAACTTGGTTCAACTCAATGATGCATGTTGAGAAGGATGGCTGCACTGGTATCAAAACGAAACGTTACTTCGCTCCTTTGGGAGCACTTTGGTTTTCAGTACGTCAGCTGCTGCGCAGCCAGAGTCCTTGGCCGAGACAGAGCTGCCACCAGCGGCAAAAAAATAAATAAATAAACGCTCGGAGACCTGCTGAAGTCCCGGACAAGCACTGCTTCTGCAACCGTCCTGAAGAGAGTTTGAGCCGAGCTGGAGCTCACTCGCTACCTGCAGGAGGAATGCATCCACCCTAAAGAAACCCCCCTGACACGGTGGAGCAACAACCGGGAGAGATTCCCTTTGCTCGCCAGAGTCGCACGCAGGTACGTGTGCGTGCAACGAGCGCACCATCCGAGAGGGTTTTCAGTGTTGCTGGAAATGTTGCCACCCCTCTCAGATCCTCTCTCAAACCGTATATGGTTAACATGCTGGTTTTCCTTGTAGGTAACAAGGACGTGACCGAGCTATAAATCACCGTCATTCGTGTGTGTGAAAGTGAAATGATAGTGCGCGCGCCCCGGCACGCGCGCGCCCGGTACATGTAATTTTTTATGCTTGATTTTAAACAACTAAACAAAATGGGGACTTGTTTCTTATTTGTTAGATGCTGCAGCCAAATTTGCATTTAAAAGTTTAACCTCCTGAATTTTGTTGTTTTTAAGTTCAGTCGGACTCCGACTGTCGGAGAAACAAACGTTACTGCGATCTGTGTTGTTACTGCCCTTTGATCTGCATTCAGTAAAGTGTTATAAAAGAAGGCACGGCAATTTTTAACCTTTTTTAAATGTGTAAACATTATGTTTAGATAGTACTGCAATAAAAAAAAGGGCTGCAATAATATCGCACACCGCAATATTAAGCCACCCTGAATCACCGCAGGGGGAATTCCTCAACCGCGACAGCCCTAGATGTCAGTATAACCTAAATTCTTGTTTACATCTACAGGTTTATCAATGGTTAGGGATGGACAATATACCGGCATCAATATCGGTATGGCTGATGTGAATCATTTTTTAACATATCAGTATCGGTCTGTTAAATAAAACCGGGACGATGTTAACAACCAATATTTTTTCCATCTCGTCTATATTTGTTTACCTGTTTCAGAGGGTGAGAGGGATGTGTAATTGTTTAATCATGTGAACAGTGATTGTAATCTTCTCAGAAACGTAAAGGTGTGTGGTGTGTGTACATAATAATGTAAATTCAGCTTTAATAATGTTCATGTTATACAAAATTGCTGATTTTAGAAGCATTCATGTCAGTATATCGGTATCTGCAAATATCGGTTATCGGCCATTGCAGTGATATTAATATCGGATATCGATATCGGCCCTAAAATTTAATATTGGTGCATTACTATCAATTATCTATTAAGAGCCGAATAACTCCAGTTTTAACTGACACATAATATCTATGCTATCCTTCAAGCTAGCAAGACAAACAGACTTCACTTACTGGTCAGTATACTGCAAGTGGATAAAAGGTTGCCAGGGTACTTCAGCAAATACACGCAGTGTGTGTGTGTGTGTGTGTGTGTGTGTGTGTGTGTGCGTGTGCGTGTGTGTGTGTGTCACCAGCAGCAGCGCCCAAGCAGACAGGCCATCTGAGTGGCAGACGAGAGAACAGCTCAGGCCAAAAACCCACACAAATACAAGTCACATCCAAGCGCCACAACCACGGCTGAGACCCAGCATCGTTGTGTCGGCCTATGAAAGGTTGATTGTGAGGGATATTTTTGGAGGGCCTAAAAGGCAGCAGCTCTGTTCTGAACCAAGGGAGGAAGTGGCTGCCCACAGGCAGGCCCTGCTGGCAGCAGACACACTCCTCTGTCCCCCATTCACCCCATCTCTCCTTCAGACTGCGGACGTTTCTATTTCCCCTCTGAGCTTCATGTATATTCATGCCGCTATGCCTGCAGTCACATAATCTGTTGTGATTCTGCCATTTAAGCCCAAAATTAATTAATCAATACTTTCTCACATTGGACATTTCCTCTTCAGTCCAATAATAAAGTCTGAATGAAACGGCAAGAAACAGAATGTCAGCATCAATGGATGCCAACGTTCTGTTAACTGCATGTTTACAATGACATTAGTGGGTCCTAAAACTGGAAAAGGTGTTGCATACATGTCAGTAAATGTAATGTCCAAAAATAACTAATTAGTATGCCACATTATCAACTAGAGCTATTTCATGATAAAGTTATCCAGCTGAACCTGCTGGTAAAAAAATAACTAAAGCAAAATAACTAAAGCAGTAAACAAATCAGGAAGTGATAATGCAGCATCCTGAACATAATCATCATCATCATCATCATCGCCAAGTGCTATAGGACTAAATGATAGACTAAAAATAGAGCTTTAGTCTATATTCTACGAAGAATCTACACAAAACACAGTAAATATTAAGTTTGTGGACTGACTATTAATTTGTATAAAACATTTTAATGAGGCCTTTAAAATATTTGAGTTAATTTAATAGTAAACAACTTTAACAAAGCATTGCATGTTGAACTGAAACCTGTTTCCAGAAATTTTGATGAAAATTGTCAATATGAATATTGTTATATATTTTTCTATTGAACTGTTGATAAATTACTGTTGAACCTAGTAACAAGCCACTGAATATGGATTTCTTAGGGCTTTACAACAATATCAATTCACCTGTTTGTTTTCGATCTGGCCTCTAATTACTCATCTGTCTGTCTGTCTGTCTGTGCGTGCGTGTAAAGAAGAGGCCCGCTGCCTGACCCCGGGTTTCCACCGGAGCCGTCAGCAGCACGTTACGGCAGCAGCACGTCTTGCTCGTGTAAACTGCTGCTTGGCCCTTCCCACGAGACGCGAAGCAGCAGGGGAGCAGCTGTCACCGACCGAGCACGAAGTCACACGAGTGACTTCGTCAGTAAACACAACAACAAGCAGGAGAAAACTACAACATGGCTCCAAAAGGTTTGTGTTTTATGTTCTGTCCATTTTATAATCGCCAATACGGACCTGAAAAACAAAGGAGACCGCTAGCTAGGTGATAACTTCTCACGGGGCCGCACAGTTAGCAACTTTTTTTTAAAGTAAAGCAACCGGAAGGCAGTACGTTTCTTTATTCTGAAAATCTCGGGAGCTTCTCTCCATTTCCGCGTCCGATTTCCTGTCTTTCCTTCCCCAAAAATGTCGAACTTGACCCGTTTCAGAGGCGTCGCGCGTAGAAAATAGAACCGGCGCGTAAAGGCCGCGACATGCTGCTCCTGAGACGCGGCCGACTCGCGCTGCTGACGGCTGCTGACGGCTCCTGTGGAAAAGGTTCTGTTGACCACAGCGGATCCTATCAGCAGCTATGACGTGCTGCTGCAGTAACGTGCTGCTGACGGCTCCGGTGGAAAGCAGGGGTGAGCGTCACCAAAAACAACCATCCTGCATTCTCCTCAGAGCCACAGCTTCTATATCCAGCCCCTTATAAGCAGCACACAGATGGGGGTGTGGTTTGTGTGTGTCCCACCTCAAACAGAAGCATGCAAACCAAACACACCCCTTTCCTAGTTTTCTAAAACACACACAAGGGAACAATCTGGATTTTCACTCTAAACATAAGTGTCCCTCGAGTCCTCTCCCCAGCTTCCTGTTGAAGCCCCAGACTGTAATTCCAAGTGGCTGCTCCATTCCCAACATTGTAAAGCAACTGCTGTCAAAACACAGTTACACTGTGGACTTTAAGAGACCCTGGCTAGGAAGACCACGCCCTGACAACTATGGACTCTTCTCAAACCACAGGCAGCCATGTTGGGTCTAAGATCCACTAGTAGAGTGAGATTACACCCAAGTTATGAATGACGTTACCCGCCTGGCACTTTGAAGACACAAACACAAAATAAATGGGAGATCTGAGGTTGTGTATCTGGGTTAGCAAGCCAAAGTAATGACAACTATCCAGAAACAGATTTTTTATTGATGGCAACTGGAACCTTTGTAAACACCCACTGAGTTCCTGTTGGTAAATGTGCTTCAGAACAATAGATGAGCAGCACTGATGTCAGCTAAGAAACCCTGTCAGCGCCTACGCTTCTAAAACATTTTACCAACTGGCAGCAAGTTGGAGAAACTCACACACAGACACACACATGCACACACACAAACAGTAAGAGGATGCATGAAATATTTAGACACAAGCAGCAGCAACACTAATGTACAGCTGAATTCTTTGTATTATTGGGATCAAGGCCAGTTCATTTCTGGCTGCTTTCATCATTTCAGGGCTAGCACACACACACCTGCTAAGCCTTTTTCAAAACAAACTTATTTTGCATCCTCACATAATCTACTAAATATACAGAAATTATTCTGTAGCTAAAAAAACGTTAATCATCTTTTTTAATATTTTTTTCCTTTAAAGCTAAATAGGCAAATGTGCAAAACAAGCTAGCTTTATTTTCTCATGCCTCTTAACAACAATCTAACATAGTTTATCTTTATTCTGTGAAGATAAAAAAATGAGAAAAAAATTGGAAATGGTTCTCCTGCATTTGTCTAAACACCTCAGTCAATAACACAGCTCGGTCCAAAACCAAGGATAGCACCATCCAGCTGCCTGTCTAACCCAGGGGTATGCAACTCTGGTCCTAAAGAGCCACAATCCAGCATGCTTTTTGTTGTTTCCCTGCTTCAACACAGTTGATTCACTTGTTCAGCAACTCTTCAAGCTCTGCAGAAGCCTGTTAATCAGCCGCTGATTAAAGGCAGGTGTGTTGAAACAAGGAAACAACTAAAACATGCAGGTTAGCAGCCCTCGAGGGACCAGGATTCCCCATCCCTGATCTAGTCAGAAAATAAACACAGTAGGTCTGCATCCATGGAAAGCATTTGAACTATCCTCCAAG